ATAAATTGCCTTTAAATCCGGTAACCATCAACTCCTTGTGCTCTAGGGACAAGTTCATTTTAATGAATCTGTTTTTTCCTCTCAAAGTCAAGGAAACTCAAAGACCGCGTGCATCAAGCTTCGCGAGTGCCACCGTGCTTCTCATCCCGCCAATGCTGTGGCTGCAAAAGCCAGACCAACAAAACCTTACCACCAACTGAAGCCTCTTTTGTTCAACTTAATCCCGTCAAGACAAACGCATTAACAACCATGATCAACGCTGCTATCCACACAGCTACCTCACCTCAGCAATCAAACCAAACTACTCAGCATCTATGACTACTCGTACCAAACGGATCTCTCAAAACCCGTTTCAACGACTCAATTTGCGTTCATAAGAGATCAGCTCTCCACTGATCCTACAACATACAGTAAGCCAGCAAAATTTTAATGAGACAAAGCCATTGGCCACAAGAATTCTAATGCTCTCCAAAAGCAAGGAACCTGATGCTATGTTCCGCCTCTATGACCCGGGACCATTTCTAGGATTCAAAATGACCTACCGAAACCAAATTCCAATTCAGACCGAGAACGGCTTGCTCGCCCTACAAAGCTCGATAGTGCTCAGAGGGCAATCAAACAGAAATAGCTTAGATTACTAGGACACATTCAGTCCTGTGGCTAAAACTTCCGACGATAGCGGAAATTTTTAATACCATAGCCTTGTTGTATAATGGAGCGTTCAGCAACTCGACGTCGAACGCATTCATTGCACGAGGACATTAAACGAACGGTTACATGCGCCATCCCAAAGTTTTGAGGATAGCATCGAACAAGAAAGAATAATATAAAAGTTTTGCGTTCTTCTTTCCTCCCGTCATCCCTGTCCGTGCTGATGCTTGAATGCCTTCACTTCTGACAAGACTTTGGACTTCAAGTAGAGTATCCTGAGTATAACATTGTTGAGCTACGACATGTTCTTGAGCTGTCACGGGATGCGAGCGCCTAAGGTGTGCATGCACTGGGCGGAAGACACGCAGGGCGTTGCCGGACATGCAGTTCAGGCATGGTGTATATGTACGACCGCAAGAAGATTGTTCGGTAAAACCCTAAAGCTGATTCTTTGAGTGCTGTTATCCCGGACGAAACTGGGCCTAGTACGGGACAACTGAAGAAAATTGTAAGAAAAGAAATTTTGTCATTTCGTCTGTACAAACCCTGAAGCGGGACGACCGGAACAAGAGCATCTCCAAGGACGAAATAATTGGAATAATTTTGTCTGTACAGATCTGTTCAAGAGGAGTTCTCCCGGACTGATCTGGCATCTCCTAGACGATTCCTTGTTTGAAAGTATCCGATTTTAATATTTTTGAAAGAAGAAAAGCGCAGGAGAGAGAAAGAGAATGAAAGAAAGGAAAAGCTTTATTTCTGGAGGCCGCGGAGCGCTTTTTCGTCCGTCGACGCAGTTGGAAGAATTTGTTTGTCTCGCAGTAAAGACTCCGAATCCTATTCTGATTTCGAAGATTTCGAGTTTTGATAATTATTGACTATTTTAGATCAACAAAAAAAAAATCTTGAAAATTTTTAACGATTATACAGTTCTCTTGCTCGTGTGGGCATGAGTTGGTCATCTCCTCTTGATGCAGGAGCGATTGGTTTTTGGTTGATTTTTTTTTTTTTATCTGTTGATTCTCATGAGTTACTTTTTGATTGGGTGGCTTAACTGTTATCTGGATGGATATTTTGTGGCTCTTTGCGGCTGGTGGAAGCTTTCTCTTTGCTGGATTCTTTCTTGCTTCTTCTTTTGGTGGATGTCCCCTGGCAAAGCTAACTTTCAGTTTTCCTGGGCGATCTCTTGTATTAGTTAATCTTGGAAGGTTGTTTTTTCTCCTTTGTAGTTTGCGTGGCAAGGATTACTCAGTTTTGGTTGGCATAGAATTCTCTGAAGATTGTTTTCTGGCCCTCGTCTTTTGGGAGTTGGTGTTTTACTCATTATTTGGAGCTGGCTTGGGGGCTGCTTGTGGAGCCTTTTATTTGCTAGTTCCTTGTTTTGCTTTACTTTGGGGATCTCTTTTGAAGCAGTTCAAGCTGGTCGATTCGTGTTTCTTTGCATGTTTGTAGATAGGGCTTCTACTGTATTGCCTTAGTTTTTTTTTTTATTTTTTTTTCTCTCTCTCCCTTTTTGGAGTTTATTATGTATTGTTAAAAAACTTACAAAAACTATTATTTTTTTCTTCTGGTAATCTTTTATTTTTGGAATGAATTTGGGCATGTTTGCCCCAATTTTTTCAAAATAAAAAAAGTGCTGCCTTGAAATTAAAATATGTTGGCGTTGATTCTTCTTTCACCAATATTTTCGAATTTCTTTTCCATTGCCAGTATAAAAAAGTTAAAATTAATAAAAATATAATATAAATATTAAAATTATTAATATTTAAATTCAAAAAAATATTTTTAAATTAAATTAAAAGTTATATCCTATCATGAATTTAAAATATATTGTTGACCCCCATATACCTCAAAACCAGTTGATAAAGGACACCAATTGCGTTGAATAAAACATTACGCCGCCTTAGCGCCATGCACCACTTAAAAGGGGTCAAATGATTTCGATTGCCAAACACAGACGACGTCGTTGCGATCAAGAGTCGAATTCTGCTAGGTCGGGGCCCTCGGCAAATTTGAATCGTACAAAGATCGATCAAAAGGGACGATCGACACCCGAAATTAAAGCGCGAACTGATCAAACGATCCCAGATCGACAAATAGACTTTCATCATTGCGTCCGAAATTTGCCAACCTTTATATGAAAACTTATTTTGTATATTAATTTGGATCATCCGGAGAATGGTGACACAAATTTTCAAGGAAAAACACGCATTATCGAGAAAGGAGATTTTGCCCTATAGAGACGATACGATGTCGGCCAACAAAACGACAGCTCCATTCGTCCCGAACGTCATCGACAATCAAAATATATAATTTTATTAAATCAATTTTTGATTAACTGAGAGGTGGCGTTCACGTGATTTCGAGGCAATTCAAATATGATGTGGAAGGTGCGCATATCAAAAAAAATGAGCTCGAAGATGCTCTAACGACGTCCGATTGCAAACGACAGCTCCATGCGTCCAGAACTCACGAACATTTCAGAAAATACATTTTATTTAATAAATTTGGATCAATCCGAATGGTGAGTGAATTTTTAGGCCCAATGCAAATTATGATATAAAGGCCTACTGTCTACGACAGAAATGAGGAACTCGAAGATGTTCGCGACGACGTCACGATGACAACGACAGCCCATTGCGTCCGAAAACGTCGTCGACATTTCCAGAATATATATTTTATTTTGATAAATTTGGATCATCGGAGATGGTTTGGTAAATTTCTAGGCGATGCAAATATGATATAAAGGCCTCGTTACGACGGGAAACAGGCTTCGAAGCACGCTTCGAACGACGTCTCCAATCATAACGGACAACGTCATTGCATCCAGAACTCGTCGGCATAAGAGTCAAACATTTTATTTGCTTCAAATTGGATTCATTTGAGGAGCGTACGGTAAATTTTCAAATGCCGATTCAAATAATTGCAAAGGCACGCATTTCGAGGGAGATTAGCCCCTCGATTGATGATCAAACGAAGTTCCGATCTACAAAACGGACGGTGCCATTTGCGTCCGGAATGTCGTTGGCATTAGAAAATATACATTTATTTTGATTAAATTGGATCGTTTGATGGTGCTCTAAATTTTCAAAAGATGATTCAAAATATGTTGCGAAGGCATGGGCATTGAAGGAAACGATGCCTCGAAAACATGCTCGAATGACGTCCGAGTGCAAAAGTTAGACTGCGTCATTGGGTCCGGAACACCGGTCAATATTATGAATACAGTGCCCAATTTGTTTGATATGAAGTTTTGCGCGCAAATCGAGATAACACACACTTCGAGGGAATTAAGCCTCGTCCCGCCCAATACGACGTCCGATGAAAACGACTGGGCCATACGGACCGGAACATCGTCAATCCCTAAATAACTACCCATTTGTCCTAATTTTCTATGTCGACAAATTTGACACGCTTAAACGAGTGATTACACGTATTTCAATTCCGAAATGCACAAAAATCAAAGTCATATCATTGATAGCCTGTTACTATCAGCTTAATAAGACATTGCTTCTTAAATAGCGTGTTATTATTATCTCTGCCAATAATTTAACCTAAAAACTAGCAAGTCAAACAAAAAATCTCAAATCCAAATTAATGCTTCCTCGTAATAGCTCTGAATTGAATCCTGCTTCGAATCACCTCAAATCCCGCTGCCCTTTGATTCGCGATTCAAATTCACTCAGAAGCTCGCTGCGAACAGAAAAATGAGGCTTCCTCATCCATTAAAAGAGAGACGACCAGAAACCGTTCATTCTCTCCGGAACCTCTCCAAAGCCCTTGCAATAAGAAGGCCTTCCCTTTACATACTCTCTCGTGACTTAAAAAGTAAAAAAAAAAAAAGTTAAAATTGATTAACAGAGAATTCAGGTTACTAACAAGTTAAATTGAGTTTATATTTTTTACCCATTTATTTAACGGATCAAATTTCAATTGATCAAATTCTAAATAGATCAATTTTCAACCCGGTCTGAACCTGACTAATTCACCCGTTTTGACACCACTATTAGAAGCATGCAATGACAATACTGGCGGTTTCTGCTGTATTCATCGCCTGCATTGATGCCACGTCACGTGTCCCGGGCCCACGGGCCCCGCAGTCTTATGAGCATTTATTTTTGAGCCTCCTTAGGCGTACGCCGCCGCATCATCGCCATTGCCTCCAACCCAAAAAGTAAAGCGACCCTGTGGCCGGCCCTTCGTTTATTTCCTCAACTCCTGCAACTCGTACTCTGCAACTCCTCTCTCTCTCTCTCTCTTTTCTCTGTTTTCCTTAAGTCACGTTATGAAGGACTATATGCGCTTGAAGAGATAAACCATAAAGAGAGAGTTTGGTAATGCCGTGAGCTGTCATGGGAAGGAAGAGTGGGAGCTCATGGCTGACTGCGGTCAAAAGAGCATTCAGGTCTCCCTCCAAAGACTCGGAGAAAAGGACTGAGCATGAAGAGAACGAGAGTAACAAGGTCATGTTCATGGCGGCGTGCACGCAAACCACACTCCTCAGTCTTCCTATTCTCTTCTTCTAACATTTTTTTTCCATTTTTGCTTCGCAGAAGAGGGAGAAGAGGAGATGGATATTCCGCAAGTCTTCAAGCAGCCAGCAGCAGCAGCAAACGGGCAATATAAAGCAGCAACCGCTTCCGCGGCCGCTACCAGCGGCGGTAACTCCGGAACAGAGGCACGCCATGGCTTTAGCCGTCGCAACAGCAGCCACGGCGGAGGCTGCGGTCGCTACCGCTCAAGCCGCCGCAGAGGTAGTCCGGCTCACTAGACCAACGGCTTGCTTCGCAAGAGAGCACTGCTCCGCCATTGTCATCCAAACGGCCTTTCGTGGCTACCTTGTCCGTATTCTATTCGGCTTCCTTTTTTTTTTAAACTCTGTTTTGCCAAATAATAAGAAAGTTGTTTTCGATGGTGGAAAAGGCCAGGAGAGCGCTTCGGGCATTGAAGGGGCTTGTAAAGCTTCAAGCTTTAGTTAGAGGGCACAACGTTCGAAAACAAGCGAACATGACTCTTCGATGTATGCAAGCGTTGGTGAGAGTTCAGGCACGGGTTCGGGATCAGCGTATGCGGCTGTCTCAGTCACATGACGCCGCTCCTTGCAGTAGCTATAAGTCTTCTCTTAGCTGTGACAGCAATATCTTGGATTCGAGATATCTTCAAAACATCGTCGAGAGAAGATCTATTGTAAGATATGATACCAAATCTTGTTTTACCAATGTTAGATATGTTTTCCTTCGTTCAAAGTTGGGATTTTTACTTTCAGAAGTCGAGAGAAGGGAGCATTTACGCCGACGACTGCGAGGACCGTTCCCAGACCATAGGGGAGACTCAGGCGACGTCGAAGATTAGGAAAGAAGCCGTCTTGAAAAGAGAAAAGGCAATCATTTATTGGGTAACAAGTAGCTCTGCTTCCCCTGTTTTCCTATGTTACTAAAACAACATTTTTTTATCTTATTAGATGTGGAGAGCAGATACCAATCTATCTCCAACACTGAATAATTTTGAACCAGAAGTAGAGCCACCGAGGTGGCTCGAACGGTGGATTGCTTCACGAACATCATTCGACAACAGAAGCAGCAGCTGGGGTAGAGGCTCCATAGACCACCGCGACCCAATAAAAATTCTTGAAATCGATACTGCTCGGCCATTCTCCTACGCCGCAGCCCGCCGGCATTCTCCGGCAACTCTTCCAGTCACCTCTCCCCGCCACCGCTCCCCTGCCACTCCTTCGCCATCAAAGGTTCCGCCTTTACAAGTCCGCTCCGCGAGCCCTCGCTGCTACGCCCACACACCTAGCTTATCAGCGGCACGTGCAGTGCCGAACTACATGGCGACGACGGAGTCGGCCAAAGCACGCCTGAGGTCGCAGAGCGCACCGAGGCAGAGGCCAGCGACGCCGGAGAGAGACAGGTTGGGTTCGGTGAAGAAGAGATTGTCGTATCAGGTGCCAGAAGCGTACTGCGGGAATAGTTTGAGAAGTCCAAGCTTCAAGAGCGCGATGGGGAGGATTGGGTCCGAACAGAGTTCGAATGTTTTATCGACCTACACGGACAGCGAAGTGTCGCCGTCGTCCACGACGGATCTCCGGCGGTGGATGCGGTGAAAAGTGAATGCCGTTCATTGATTTCATTTGTGTTTTTTGTTTGTTTCGTATTGCTGTACTGTAGTGTGGTTTATTATTTACTCGCTTTTCGCTTTTCTGATGTACTGAACGTCGTTTGGGTTGGTTTGGAAGGAGAAGTGATAGGCCAACAGAGTGGTGGTCGGTAATGGCTTCTTTCATTTTGGATTTCTGATTAGATTGTGCTTGAATGAATGGATCACTTGACATTTTTCTCACCGGCGTTTACCATTACAGGTAATTTCTTTGTATTTTTAGACACTTTTGCAGTTACTGTTTTATTGTTAGCCTTTTGCTCAGAAATTAAAATTTATACACTTTTGCATTTACTGTACTTTTAAAATAAGAGCAGGTAGGGTTAGGCAGTCAGGGCAAAAAGAGGGTGGTGTTTTCACTTTTCATTGGTATTTGGAAGAGATGCTCACGAGAAAGGCAAAAGGATTTTATTTCATTATTTTAAATTGAGAGTTAGATTTCAATCAAATTAATTTATAATTATATTTAAATATTAAAAAAGAATGTATTTTTGGTTTATATTTATCTAAATCCTTAAAAAAAAAACTAAAAAAAAATATCATAACTCATAAATCTTGCCATCATTTACACTCCTATAATAGCAACTAGAAATTTCATGATTCACTCATACCTATACCTATTTGGTTGTCTTTGTTTCTCCATAATGCTACAACTACGTCACAATTTGATCGCCTAGGGACCACTTTAATATTAATTAGTCAGAGGCAGACATGCGCTCTGCTAGGGTTTGGAGGTTTGCGCCGTCTCCTTCGTTGCGTGGTTTCGTTGCCGCCTCAGGGAAGATTTCTCTCATCTCTCTCACTAGTTTTTCTGCGTTTTTCTCTGTCATGGAGGGCAAAAGGCTTTTGGATCTTGGTTTTTTGTCTGGTTCTCCTTCTTCTCGGTCTTTTCGTGAGGCTTTAGCGGGTTCTTCTTCCGCTTCGATCTCTTCTTATCCTGATATTAAGATCTCGTCTTTTAGAGGTCTTCATTCACTTTGGATTTCGGATGAGGAAGTGCTAGCCCTAGCTGCTTCTTTTGAGTTTCCGCTTGTTGGAAAATTTCTGACCCATCGTTCTTCATTGGAAGCGATTCGTAATTTTTTTTTCAATCTTAAACTTAATGGAGTTTTCTCTGTCACTGTTCTTAACTCTAAGCATATTCTTATCAAGCTGGAAAATGACATGGATTATTGTCGAGTCTTCTCACATCATTCATATTTCGTGAACAATTGCTTCATGAAGGTTTTCAAATGGTCCCCTACCTTTGACATTGATGTTGAATCCCCTACTATATCAATTAGGGTTTCCTTTCCTAATCTTAGGCCGCACCTCTTTGCCCAGAGAATTTTACAAGGGCTTGGTTCCATGTTTGGTAAGCCTCTGAAAATCGATCAGGTGACTTCCACTGGTAGGCGGCCATCAGTTGCTCGAGTACTGGTGGAATTAGATGTTACCAAGGTTTATCCTAATAAAATTTGGGTTGGATCCGAGACTTTAGGCTATATTCAATCGGTTAATATGGAGCCCTTCCCTGCTTATTGCTCGCATTGTAAATCCATGGGTCATTCCAAACCTGACTGTCCTGTTCTTCACCCTCTGCTCAATCATGTGGCTGCCCCTACTGTTGCTGAGGTGCCTTCTATTAATTTGGATTGTGTTTTTCCTGATTCCTTACCTCCTGCGGCTCATGCAGTTTTGATTAATGGAAATAGTGGATTGGTTGTTAATTCTGCTATTGATAGTTTAGATGAGGAAGTTTGTGTTTCTAGTTCTCCTATGCCTATTCAGGATGTTTTATTGACTCTGGTGCCTGTGGCGCACTCTCTAGATTTGCCTGCTCGCGCTTCTGTCCCCCCTGTTGTGGTTGGTTTGGATGATTTGGATAATGTTGTGGTCGATGTTGTGTCTCATTCGGGTGGTGGTGTTATTGGTGTTGATGTTGTCGTTCTTTTATCCCCTGATGCTCAACCTTTTCTTCCACAAGGTGTTTTCTTCACCTCTGAGGAACCTCTTCTTGTCGCCCCTCGTGCGTGTCATAGTGCTGAGGTTCCTGATAGTTTTGTTTATGTTTTGTCTGGGAGGTCCGCCCCACCTGTTTTGGCTAGTATTACGTTAAAGCCTTTGGTTTTGGATTGCCCGATTGTGACTGATCTGGTTCCTGATAATTTGGATGCGAGTGTTTGTGTGGGTTCTGCGTCTGTAACCTCTAGCTCGCCTCCAGTATTGAATGACTGTTTATTCAATAACAATTTTGTGGATGTCCCTGTTAATTTAATTGATTCTCAGAGCTTAGTGTATCATGTGGGGGACAATTCATTCATTGATGTTCGTGTGCATTTGGATTGGCTTCATGGTTCATCTAATAATGAGTTTGATTCTATTTCTTTGGATTCGAGTGGGGATGACGACCCAGAGAACCCTTTTAACTTATTATGTGATAAACCTCTTGTATATGTTGCCTCTCGTGGTAGGACTCGTGGGAGGGGCAGACATGGCCGGTGATGCTTTTATTGTTGGTTGCTTACTGATTTTTTGGCTTTTGGTTGGCTATCCGAGGGCTATGTTCTGTCCCCTTGGGGTGGCCTTGTGGCTGGCTTGAGTTTTGGTTTTGCAGTGGGCTTTATTGTTGGTTTGGGTTGCCCATTCAAGCTTTATTATATGGACGATGAGGAAGTAGCGCTACTGCAAGTGTCGTGGATGGCCAGGGTTGGTTGGCAACCTGGGTGGCCCGTTTCGTTGACTTGGCAGCTTTTCATTTGCGAATTTCTTTTCTCTCATGGATGGCCCCTCCCTGGCAATTAACCCGACGCTGGTTTGAGTCTGCATCATTAGTTTCATATCCCTTCTTTTTTTTTCCTTTTTTGGGGTTATTGCGGTTCTAATTGTAAGCTACTGTTGTGGCCCGATGTGGGGTCTTTGCTTGTACCATTTCTAATTTAATGGATTTCCTTAAAAAAAAAATGCTACAACTACGAAATCTCTTGATTGATCTTATTATTTTATCTTTCGCCAAGGCACTGACAGATTTCAAAGACATCATCGCTCCTTTCCCTCTCTAGCACGCACCTCGGAGTCTTATTCTATCATTGATAAATGTAATTGCATAATAATATGTAATATTTTACATGATATCATATGAGTTATATATGAAGAACATGACAATGAATAATTTTACCATCACTTCATAATTTTATAGAACATAAAAAATAGATTTACATGTTAGTTCATTAATAATTGAGAGTTTTTATGACTTAATTTAATGTGACAAAATATAGTCAAAAGATGTTCTGCCAAAGCTGGTAGATATAAATGTCATCATTATAAGAAATATCACTGAGTTTCTTTTACTCTTTTTTATATTATAAGAATGTCTATCAATTTATTTTCTCGAGTCTTTTGTTATTGTAAGAATATCATTAAAATGAACATAAATTAATTTACTCTTCTTGTCTTTTTAAGAATATAATAATAGTTTGGATCAATAATAATTTTTAAAGTAACGTGACTAAGCCTTCGTTTGAGATAGCTTTTTGATTGCTTCTTAAAACGGAGTTGTAGTACAAAATTTTTAATTTTTGTACTACAACTCCGTTTTAAGAAGCAATCAAAAAGCCGTCCCAAACGAAGCGTAAATGATAATTCAATGATATATTGTTTGTCGTTGATCAAATTTTAGGAAAAAAACATATGTTGATTCACATTTAGCATCAAGAGCACGACCAACAAAAACATTAAGGCATAGGTGTTTTCAATGAAAACATTCTAAGCTTAGAAGTTTTTAAGAGAACGACTATGGAAAGTTTGTTTTCTGTATTAACAAGAAAAAAAAAAAAAAAAAAATCATAGGATCGCTGTGTTATTTGCTCTTATATTTTACAAAGTTCCTCCTGCCAAATTGGCAAATTGATATATAGTTACTTAAAATTTGACCATCTCTTCTTGATTTCTTATGGATATTGATTAACTCTATTTTGTAGTCGTATCGGTTGTGATCGCACTCTATCGTGATAATCCTAGAGTTTAATTTATTTATATTACTGATACGTCATCACAAAATTAGCTTGATCGGGCACGAATCTCGAGGCAAAAGCTAGTTGGAGACTTCAAAAATTAAATCCGGAAGCATCCGAACTCCGATTTCAACGAGCTTACAGTCAAACTGAGCGTCTCGCAGAAATCTCGTCGGACCACCGCAGGAACCTCGCCGGGCCACCGCAGAACCTCGCCGGACCACCGCAGAAATCTCGTCGGACCACCGCAGGAACCTCGCTGGACCACCGCAGAACCTCGCCGGACCACCGCAGAAATCTCGTCGGACCACCGCAGGAACCTCGCCGGGCCACCGCAGAACCTCGCCGGACCACCACCTTAAGGCACGACGTTCAGTCCCTACTTCCTGCCAAAGACCCGACGTCTTGTTCAAGGCCCGACACTCAGTCCCTACTTCCTGCCAAAGACCCGACATCTTGTTCAAGGCCCGACACTCAGTCCCTACGTTCTGTCGAAGACCCGACATCCTACTCAGGGCCCGCGATTCAATCCCTACGTCCTGCCGAAGACTCGACGTCTTACTTAAGTAATTGATTGTAATCTGATCACCCTGGAGGTGATTCAGTCATTTGTAACCAACTCAAAGTCTAGTGAAACCATTTTCAACTGGGCTAGGCCTCGTGGTTTTTCCCTTTTAAGGGTTTTCCACGTAAAAAATCTTGTGTTCTCTGTGTGTGTGCTAGTTATACGTACAACGCTAAGACGTAAAATTAAATCTTTATCGCCGCGTATTTTCTAGCCCGCAACAATTACTATATCTCATTTTATTGTATTTACTTTATTTGAACTCTAGTCAAATCTCACCTTAATTTTTATTCAAAACTAATTCGAATTTTATCTGAAATTTATTAGTTCAATAGCCGAAGAGAGGAGTTTCGAAAAGTAGATGTAGATCAAGTTAACTGAAAAAATTATAAAAATCTAGATTGTATTCTTTTATTTTGTGGATTTAATTTCTGAGTTTATTTTCTTGCTTATTTAATTTTATTGAGTTTGATAATCAGTGTGGTTAATAGAATTTATCATTATTTTAAAAAATAAAAAAATGAAAAATAAAATTTTT